GAAGAACGGGGACAGCTGGGGAGGAGGGCGTGTAGCCAGAGCGGTGGCTGGCACCCATCTTGCAGGGCCTCGTGGTGTGAGTGGGAGCCATGGAGGGTTCTAGGCAGAGGGGTGACACGGTCACAGAGTCAGACCTGGGTTCGCACAGACTCCTGCTGTGTGTGACCTGGGGGGGGTGACAGCGTGGCAACAGGACCATCGGGGCCTACTGCAGTGGCCAGGTGCAGACTGATGGTGGCTGGGCCGGGGCAGTGGTCAGGCAGCCAGGAAGAGGAGGCTGTGCTCAGGACACGTGCTGTGGTCCTTTTAGCATTTAGCAGAAACTGGCCTCATCCCCTGCCCTGCCCCACTGTCCTTGCCCAGCCTGCCCCGGGGCCTTTGCACCTGCTGATGCCGTGCTGGGGTTCTCTGTCCCCAGGAAGCCCCATGGCGTCCCCACTTCCTCAGTGTCCCCAGCTGTGGCACGCCCACCTTCCCGGCCCTCCCCTTGGACCGCTGGCTCTGATCACCCCTCTCTCTCTCTGCTCCCCAGCAGTAGCCTCCCGAGGGACCCGAAGATGCCTTGTTCACCTCTGTCCCAGGGTGGGGACCGTGTCTGGAGCGGGCAGGTCTTCACAGAAACAGAGAGACCTCGGCTCCGCCCCTTGTTACTGCGTGACCTTGGGCATGTGGCCTCCCCTCCCCCAATGTCCTCTCCCAAGTGGGGCCAACTCTGGGACCCTCAGAGGGTCGTCCTGCGGGTCCAGGAAGGTACGGCAAAGGGCCGGCCCGGGCGGGGCTTGTGTTGCTCCCAACCTTAAGAGAGAGCAGGAGTGGCCCTGCGGGACAGTGGCCCTGTGGGACAGTGGCCCCAGCAGACAGTGGCCCCAGGAGCCAAGGAGGGAGAGGCCCAGCTGGGGACAACTTGCTTTCCACGTCCTCAGTAGGAGATGACAAGAGGCCCCGGGAGCCGCGTCCAGGCTGCGGTCCCCCCCCCAGCTGCTGCCCCAGACCCTCCCCCGGGGCTGCTGCTCCCTGGGGCTGGAGCTGACAGTGGCCCTGCCCTGGGTCCTCCAGCCCCTGGCCAGCTCATCCGCTGCCCTGCTCCGGGGCTTTCCCTCCGTGGGACCCTGGGTACGGGTGGGCAGGGTGGTGGGTCCCCCGAGGCGGGATCCTTCTGCCCTCCGCGGCTTCGAGGACCGTCCACCGCCTGCCAGGACTTCACTGCAGACGGGCGTTGGCTGTCGTGGGGACGCGTTCCCTCCTCTCCCCGCTCCTACCCAGGAATGGAACCGCTGGGCCGCGCCGTGTCTGTCCTTCAGCTCTGGAGGAGCAGCCAGGCTGTCCCCAACGTCCGCCCGCCCGTGAGGGGCCCGCGCTCCACCTCCTCCCGGGCCCTTGTAGTGACTTCTTCATCGCCCTGAGTGGCCAGGCCCCTCCTTCACTCTGTCCCCTCCCCTCGAACCTCATCCACCAGCAGCGCACAGAAGTGCTCCTGGGTGGCCCTCGAGACCAGGAGGTGACACCCGTTCCCTGTGACCCCGGCCGCCGTGTCAGGCCCCAGCCCACAGCGGCCCAGGTGAAGTGACTCTGGCAGAGTGGCCCTCAGGGGCCGTGCAGACGGCCAGCCGAGGGACGGCCAGCCAGCCATCCTCCAGCTGCAGGCAGACAAGAGTGACCCTCCCCAGAGCCAGTCACCGGGACACCAAGCCCCCAGTGTCCCTGCTGAGAGACCCCAGCCATGGCGGAGCAGGGACAGCCCCAGGACCCGAGAGACAGGAATCAAGGAAACCGAAGGGCTGGGCTGGGGCCTCCCCTCCCAGCAGGGTGAGCCGAGGCCGGCCATTGGAGAGGCCCACACAGAAGCTCGGGTCTGTCCAGCGCAGGCCACGAGGGCTGCTGGCCCTGGGCACCCAGACATCAGCGCCGCTTTCCGGCCCCTCTCCCTCTGCATCAGGGACCCCTTGTCCTGAGCTGACGTCACGGCCACGTAAGCCACGGCAGCAATGCCCGAGCCCTGCTGACCGTGGCCACACTCTGACACAAGCCTCTGACTGGGGGCCTGTTCTTTGTAGAAAGTGAGAGGCGACGTAGGGAGAAATGGCACCCACCTCCGTCCCCACCCGGGGACGGCCCCAGAAGCCTGGAGCGGGGCAGTCCGCAGCCCGTCAACACGGGGACACAGGCCGGCCCCCTGCACGCTGGGCAAGCGCTCGGTCACTGAGCCGCCACCCTCACTTTTTAACTCCGAGACAGGTTCAGCTGCTAAGTTGCCAGGGCCGGCCTCCAGCTTGCCGTCCTCCTGCCTCGGCCTCCCAAGGAGCTGCACCGCAGGCTGCGCCCTCGCCCAGCTTCGGGGTCCCTCCAACTAGGTACAAAGCCCCCCTCGTCCCCTCAGGTGGGATTGCCTCTGGCCCTGGCTTTGCTGGTGACAGCCGGTGGGCTGCTTTCTGTGGCCTCCTTTGCAGGAAGGACGCTCCCGTAGTCCACGCCCTGTTCCGCTCTGCGCAGGGCCTGGGGAAAGTCCACCAAGAGCCCAGAGGCCTCCAGACAGGGGAGCCTCCTGAGGTGCAGCCGGGGCTAGACCTCAGCTTAGAACTCCTGCGGCCACCCCATCCCGAAAAGCCACAGGTTTGTGGGTTGATGGGTCGATCTGTCTACACGGCGATTGATTCTGCTTCAGGGTCTGTGAGACACCAGGGAACTTTGAAAGGGCTGTGTGGACGGGGCCTGGGCACTGAGACGCCAGAGGGCCTGTGGGGCCACGCACGGCCCCAGCAATTCCCCCACCCCACCTCCCTCCCCCACCTCCCTCCCCCACCTCCCTCCCCCACCTCCCCCTCCCCCCTCCCCCCCTCCCCCCTCCCCCCCTGCCCCGAGCCTCTCTTTGATTTATTGGCCCTTTGCCTGGAACAAAGTCGCCGGTGCCTTAAGATCAGACTAAGGTCGTTAAAAGTGGTTCAAAAGGTCCAGAGAGATTGTGACGGGGACACCATCTCCCCCACGCTGCTCCCAGCTGGTATTCCAGGTACCCAGGACAGGAGTCCACAAGTTTCCTGGGCACACGCAGCCTCCTGGGGTACCTGCCCCCTTCCTGTGGCCCAGGGCACACGCAGGCTCCTGGGGTACCTGCCCCCTTCCTGTGGCCCAGGGCACACACAGGCTCCTGGGGTACCTGCCCTCTTCCTGCCACCCCGAGGCCCAGGGCACACACAGCCCCCCATCCGGCTCTCCTCCCTCACTGCCAGGCTGGCCTAGAGCCGCCGTCACCTGTGCTAAGAGGTCCCTTCTCTAAGGACCCGGGATTCTCTGTGATCTACCAGCCGTTCTCCTGCTGAGGGGCGGTGAGGGTGCCCCTACTGCGCGCCCTGCGCCCCGGCTCTGCACCCCACCCCCACCCCACCCCCACAGTTGACTTTTCCTCGTTGACTTGCTCTGGGCTGAGCTCCCGTGTGTGAGCTGATAAGCTCCGGCCTGGGGAGGGGCGGGGGACACGGGCAGGCAGGGGCGGCACGGGGCCTCCTACCTCTGCCACCCAGCAGGGGACACGAGTGGCCGTGTGACAGGAGGAGGTGGACCTGTGTGGGTGTGGCGGTCCCAGGCAGCTGGAGGAGGAGGAGGAGGAAGAGGAAGCCGCTCCGGGCCCACCCCCACGGCGGCTCTTGACTCAAGGACAGCACGTGGGCTGGGCACAGGCTGGCACTTCGGGCCTCTCCTGACCAAACAAGACCCACGGGCAAGTCCGAGCACGGTCCTGGCCAGCCAGGGAGAGCGGGCACAGCCCACAGAGGGCGTGGGCCTGCGGGGACAGAGGGCGGCGGGGTCTCCACGGCCCTGGGGACAACAGTGGCCTGTCTTGTCCACGCCACCTCACTGAAGGCCTTTACCCAGGGCCATGGCGGGGGACGGTTGGTCTAGGTTGGAGGGGGCAGAAAGGGGGACAGAGCAGTGGGCCCAGGGAGCTGGACACTCAGCGGGACGGGCAGGCTGTGGGGCCAGAGCCGGGGCTGCCGGGGCTTGGTAGAGGACGGCCTTCCCCGCGGTGCCACCTGCCACCTGTGTGGCTCCCAGGGACTTCCCGGGGTCACAGGGCCATGTCCCTGTCCCCTCCAACCAGGGCCATGTGCCAGCCTGGCCACGCTCCTGCCCACTCCCACCTCGGGGCCTCGATCGCTGCCCATAAGCCTCGGGCCTCGCCCCCCACCTCCCCTCGTCCTCCGTCTCCCTCTGGAGATGTCACCTTCTTCTCCAGGAAGCTTCCCCGATGTCCCCGGATGGGTCTGGGCATCTTCGGGGCTGTCACCTGCTCCCGTACACGACCCGTCCCACCTCTAGTCACCCTGGACTAGAGCCCTCTGTGTGTGACCCTAAGCAGCCCAGGCCGGGCCGGCCTCCGGGCTAACTCCTCTATCCGCCTCTTATCCCCAGGACCTCAGGCCTCGGTTTCCTTGTTTGGGAAGTGGACACAGCCGTGGCCCCTGTGGTGATGGGCTGGGAGGGAGGAGGACACCTCACAAGTGCTTCACACACGGTGCCACGCGCGGGGCTCGCCGTCCGCCAGCGCTGGCCGTGTCCCCCACCCCGACTGGCCATAGTAGGTGCTCACTTAGGATTTCCTGAATGAGCAGACGCAGCCCTTCAAGTGTGTCCCAAAGAGCAGCTGAGGCAAGGGGTGCGTGTGACCTCAGGGAAGAGTCTCTGAGAACACAATCCGAGGAGCCGAGCTGCGTGATTTATAACTAGGCGGCCTCCACCCGCTCCCGGCCGGGGGGGACAAGAAAACAGAACGTTTCGTGTGGTCACATTAGAAATGGCGGCACAAAAAAAATGGCTTTTCTTCTTGTTTGATGTGTTTTTTCCAATTTCCTCTAATAAGCAGGATTTCAATTTAAGTGGGAAAACATAACAGCAGACCAGACAGAGGCCAGGAGCCCCAGCCCTTGGGTTCTGTGCATGTTTCCCACAAACTGGGGCCCGGGTGGGCGGGTCGGGGCAGGCAGGGGCCGCGCCGCTGGTGGAGGTGAAGCAAGAGCGGAGCCGGCCCAGGGCTCGGCCAGGGGAAGCGGCACTAGTGACCAAGGTCCCAGCTGGTGGGTCCTTCTAGACGTGTCCCCCAGAAACCCTCCCCAGGCCCCAGGCTGAGCCAGCGGCCTGCGTCACACCCCAGGGTCTGCAGAGAAAAGGGTCTGCCACGTGGCCACATCCACAGGTGTGACCCCACCCGACCGGGCCCCATCCCCTCCCCCGCCCCGCTGCTTGCTCGTGGGTTGCCAAGGTAACCGTGTGGCAAGGCCACTAGGTCACTGGACCCAGCCTCATGAGCATGGTGATGCCTTCCGCGGGCAACAGGCTGAGTCACCTCCAGAGGCCCTGGGGCTGCGGTGGCCACGGGGAGAGGGGGCTTTGTGGTGTCGGTCCCCGCTGCCCACTGCCTGGGCCTCTCCACATGCACCGTGTGCCCTTCTGCTCTGCTGCCTTAGGATGCAGTGGAGACCCTCAGCAGGGCCGGCTCCTGGCTTGGGACCTTGCACCCTTCAGAACTGTGAGCCCAATGAGCCTCTCCTCTTCTGGATCACCCAGGCCCCAGGCAGAATTTAAGGAGCAACACAAAATGGACTTAGTCCCACTTCACAGGGAGGGAAACTGAGGCTGCCAAGATCTCATGACGACCCGAGGTGGCCCTGCAGAGTTGCCCAGGTGGAGCCTGAAGGAGCACCGTTGGGTTTCGCTCTTGCCTCTGTTGGTGGTCTTCTCGTTTCTGCTAAACCAGATGGTGAGTTCCCTGAAGAGAGATCGTCACCGTGTTCCCCAGGGCCTGGCCCTAGGTCTGGCACCTGGGAAAACCGGTGATGGGGAAATGAATGCATGGCGGGTGGATGGGGAGAGGGAGGGGGAGAGGGATGCTGTAGAGGACGGAGGGGTGGTGGGTGGAGGGGGATGGTGGGGGGATGGATGGTAGATGGTAGATGGAAGGAAAGATGGGTGGGGAGGTGGATGGTGGGTGGATTGATAGATGGATGGTGGGCGGGTGGTGGATGGAAGGGTGGTGGCTGGATGGTGGGTAGATGATGGATGGTGGGTGGATGGATGATGGGTTGGTAGTGGATGGTGGGTGGGTGGTAGATGGATAGATGGATGGTGGATGGTGGGTGGGTGGATGGATAGTAGGTGGATGGATAGATGGATGGTGGATGGTGGATGGGTAGTGGATGGATAGTGGGTGGGTGGATGGTGGATGATGGATGGATAGATGGATGGTGGGTGGATGGTGGGTGGTGGATGGTGGGTGGTGGATGGAAGGATGGTGGATGGTGGAACATGGATGAGAGGAGGAGTAGAGTGCAGGTGTGTCGTGAGCAGGTGACTGAATACATAGGAAGAACTAATCAAGGCTGGGCTGGGGCTCAGTGGCAGAGTGCTCACCTCGCCTGCGTGAGGCCCTGGGTTCGATCCTCAGCACCACGTAAAAATAAATAAATAAAGTCATTGTGTCCATCTACAACTAAGAAAAAAGTTCACACACACCAAAAAGGAACTAATCAAATGACGTGAAGTTCCCAGGGCCAAGGTGCCCGTTCCTGGACGTTGGATGTGTCCTTCGGCGTGGGCACCTCCAGACAGGTTTGACTCCAGACAGGTTTTATTTGGGTTTAAATTTTTTGAAACAAGTTGTTACCATTTAAAAATTGGGGCTTTCACATTTAAAAATCTATTAAAATAAAAATCTGTGGGGACTGGGGCCAGGGCTCAGCGGTGGAGCTGGGCTCGCACGTGCGAGGCCCTGGGTTCGATCCTCAGCACCACGTAAAATTAAATAAAGTGAAGGCCTCGTGTCCTGCACCAGACCTCGCTCCACAGCAGGGAAATGGAAAGGCGCAGAGAGACGACGGGAGGGGACTTCTTTATGAGGGGGGACATCTCTGTGGCTCTGGGCATGAGCAGCCCCTCCTGGGGGCAGGGGGATGTGGTGCTCACAGGCACAGACCCAAGGTCTGCCCAGGCCCCGCTGTGGCACCCTGTGGCCCTGTGCCCTGCACAAGGCGCTGGCTCCCCCTGGGCTTGGCCCTCCTCATCTGTGGAGAGGAGGTGCCCGTGCCCCCTGGCGGGTGCCAGTCTGCTCCCATGGGATGCTCTCCGTGTGAGCTGCCATTGTCTTGGGCAGGGCTGGACTCTGTCACCTACTTGCCGTCTGTGGTGGCTGAGGGCAGCCATCCCCAGTGGAGGGCAATTGTGCCCCAACCCAGGGGCATGTGGCAATGTCCAGAGACGTCTTGGGTTGTCACCATTTTACTGGGGAGAGGCCACCAACACCTAATGGGTAGAGGCCAAAAACTGTGGGGAGCCACACTGAGTGACCACGCCCTCCAGTCCTGATGCGCCAGGGGATCTGGAAAGATCTCTGGAGCTTGGCGCGGCAGTGCCATGGCTCCAGACTTGGTCTTTGCCCCACTCGAGTGGCAAGGCCAGCCTTCTGAGAGGCATTCCCCTGGTTGAGCTCCACTCACCTGTTCTTTTGTAATCCTACCCCTTTGCCCTGTTTGGGATAGAATGTTCCCCGGAAATTCCCTTTGTGTGTCCCCTTCTCTTGCTCTGCCCTTGGGTGTGGCCTTCCTAGCTGTCAGTCAACCTGCCGACAGCAGACATAATGAAGCCAGACTCAACCCCCCCAAACCTGACCCCTGGCCTGATTTGAATGGCTTCTCCCCAATAAAAGGGCCTCTCTCTCTCTCTCTCTCTCTCTCTCTCTCTCTCTGCCTCTCCAGGGAGGCAGAGGCTGCCCCAGGTGTGATAAGACTCTGGCCCTGAGCCAGCCCAGCCCCTGGATCTCAGGCCCAGGATAATCCCAGCCCAGGGTGCCTGGACCCAGCTGGTTCCCAGCCCAAACACCAGGCAGGAATGCATCCCTGGCGCCCCCCAGTGGCCTGGACCCTGAGCTATATGATACGCCCACCTGGAGTGGAGGAGGGGGCCCTCCCAGGGCCTTTCTTCCAGCCAATTGGCAGAGGATGTGGAAGCAGCAGAAGTTGAGAAGACCAATTGATGTGAACTTGATCTCAGCTCTTCCACCAGCTCTCTGGGAGACCTTGGACAAATGCCATGACTCCTCTGCCTGTTCCTTCATCTGCAAAGTGGGACATGTTCCCGACTGCACAGTGCTGCTGGGAGTTCAGATTAAGTGAGGGTTAGATGGCGCACCTGGGCCGCGTCCCAGTCCTCCCTCCGAGGCGTGCTGTTGCTGCCTTCATGTCAAACCCAGAGCTGTTTGCATCTGATGAACTTCCAACGTGCCCCAAAAGATTTTTAAATAATGGCAAAATACACAATTTTGTTGCAAAGCCACCATTACAGATGTGGAAAGAGAGCCACATAAAATAACCGCTGGCCTCGGAAATACTGTGCGTAAGGGATATCACTTTTGTTTGAGGTGTTTAACAGTGTGCGTTCACAATACATAAGAGAGACAAAGACCTCACTTTCCCAGTATGTAAAGAGCTCCTGCAGATCAATACAAAGGTGATCATCCAATAGAAAAGGAACGGTGATTGGCCACCAGAAAAACGACACAAATGGCCTTTGAGTATGTTTTAAATTCCAAACCCTAACATAGAAAGGAAGCCCCCCACCCCACCCCCCAGGCTGGAACAGAAGCCTTCTCTATTGGCAAGGCCAAGTCCACAAGTCTGAGGATCCGGGGCCGTGGTTAGAATGAGGAGGAAGCAGGCTCACATAGGTTGGGTTCCCCTTAGACAGCACTTAGACGCTCATTGTCAAAGTTCAAAAATGCACCTGGGCAGTTCCATGGCTAGGAATTTGTCCTGCAGAAATAACAGACCCAGGACCCATTCTGGGGGAAGGACGCTGACCACTGCATTGCTCCCTACAGCAAGCCTGAAACTACCCCGGGGACCATCACCCGGAAGCTGGGTGGGACGCCGCTACATCCAGACGGTGGACTTCGTGAAGAGCGCTCTCGAGGCTGATCTGGAAAGAGCCCCCCCTCCAAGTACGTGGTCAGTGGGTAAAGGAGTGAGTGGAACCCGGCCCTGGGCAGGGGTGGAGCGGCTGCTGTTTGGAGAAGGCCGCGGGGGAGCTGGGCCCCCGGCTTCTCTGCATTCTGGATCTCCGTGGGGATCCCCAAGAAGTGGTGACCCGCGTGGCGGCTGGGCGGGGACAGGGAGAGGCAAGGATTGGAGGGAAAACATCCACCATAAATCTCCAGGAACCTTTTGAACTGTTTAAAGTGTGAGCACAGTTTCCCATTAAGTATTTGGGAGGTTTTTAAAGCCTTGATAGATGGAGGAAAGAAACTCCAGGTGGGACCTTCTTCCAGGGCGGGGTGACGCTTCTCTCTGGGTGACTTATTTTCTTCTTTTTACTTAAACCGATTTTCTAATTAAAAAATAATAATTCTCAAAATAAATTGAGGCCAAAAAAAAATTTTTTTAAATTTTATTTAAAAGCAAGACCTGGGCGTTTTCTTGGCAGTCAGAGGAAAAACCAACTCTGTTAATCAATTAAAACAAAACAAAACAAAAACTTCCTAAATGGTCAGATTGCTGTCATGGCCAAGAACATTCATTAGCGAGTGGTCAGGTAGTTGGAAATCTGTTCTGTGGACACTGCGACGTCGTACGCTGTCCACCGCGCACCTGCTAGGCAGGATCCCATCGTCTACCTCTCTGCGGTGAAATCCTGACCTGCCACTTATTACTGGGGCACACTAAGCCACCCCAACTCTCTCCGCCTCGGTTTCCTCCTCTGCAACACGAGGAGGCCATACAGCTGACAGCAGGAGCCTGTCCAGCGCTTAGCTCCAGGTATCCGCAGAGAGGGGCTCCGTCCAAGCAGGGAACCGGCAGGAATTCTGCACCAGGAGGACCCCGAGGAGGAAGGCCAGGATGGGGCCCTTCGCCTCTCCCGGGATCAGTGCGCAGAGTCCCGCACACCACCCGGCTCAGCGCCGCGCTCCTCCGACAGTTTGGAGAGAGTGACACCAAGTGGTCATGTCTGGAGCTGAGTCCCCCGGCCTCCAGCCCTGGCCTTGAGCAAACGTGAATCCTAGGTTTTCTGGGCTGTAAAGCGGAGGCGACGCTGCCCACCGGGCAGAGCCGAGGGGAGGAGGAAGCCCCGAAACCCGCGGAAATCCGCTCGCGGGCCGCTGTGCCGCACGACTGCAGGGGCTTCGCTGGTGGCATTGCGCAAAGCAGCGCCCCTCAGCACGTGGCTGCCCTTAGCGTTTCGCCCTCAGACCCCCGATTGCCTTCCCCCACCTCCCCCAGCGTGATGGTCAAGCAAAGTCTCCCCAAGAGCCCAGAGCGCGCGTGGGGCACCGCGGGCCAAGGCCACTCCTCTGCACCCCCCGGAGGACATCTGGGCCACAGTCTCCACGGGACTCCAGCGAATCTTGCGCCTTCCTTACACTTACCGGTGCCCCTTCTTAATTACTAGAGCAAGCTGCAGGCTCGGAGTCCCCAGAAGGCAAGATTAGGCTGGACTTACTGAATTACATGTTCTCGCAATGTTTACGTTTTGCGGTCAGGTGCTGATGGCCTTCCCTCCCAGTAGACGTGGTGGATTGCGTTACTGTCAAAGTCTTCCTTTTATTGGCTGTTCCCCGACGACCCTCCCTGCTGGAGTCAGGCCTGGCTGTGACCTCCTTTGGCCGATCCGTGTGAGCTAAGCTCCCTAGGAGAAGCCTCCGGAGCCATCCCTGGGTCTCCATTTGATCTCTTCTCTCTGCTGGGACAGCGGCCTACCCCAGGGGCGCCCGCACCTCCAACAGGGACCTGAGCAAAGGAGGCCCCCGGACCAGAGCTGCAGCCAGCCCCCACCAACGAGTCCTCTGAATGACAAACTCGCCTTGCGGGAGCACCTCCGGGGAATCCGAGTTTTACTGCAGCGACGCCTAGCCCCGGTGGACTGACGCACTGGACACAAAGTTTCCTTTAAAAATGAATGTACTTAAGTCAAATAAACGTTTTCCAAAAGAAAAAAAATGAAGTAAATAATGTTCAGGAAGTAGGGGGTATATGCAATAATGGTAGTTATGGGATGGTGAGATTTGAGAAAACCATAGTTTTAAATGTGAAAATCGTTTCTCCAAGTTGTGTGCAGACTATCTCACCCCCCAGCCAACATTTCAAACTTTCCAGTCTGCCTCTCCCATGAAGCCTTGTGTGTGTGTGTGTGTGTGTGTGTGTGGCGGTGAAGATTTTTTGTTATTTGCTCCATTTAGATGCACATGACAGAGGAGTGTATTTTGAGATACACACATGGAGTATGACTTCCCATTCTGTGGTTGTACATGATGTGGGTTCACTGGTCTTGTATTCGTGTGTGAACACAGGAAAGTTATGTCCGATTCATTCGACTGGCTTCAGAAAAAGCTTTTAAAGTACTGATCTGATTGGCTTCCTCCCCTGCTCTGACCTCTTTGATGGCTCCCTTGTGCCCTCACGGTGAAGTCCACACCCTTCACCATGGCCTGCTAAACCTATCGTAACCTGGCCACCAATGTCGCCATGATGTTAAACCCTCCTGAAGGAGAGCAGGAGCCTGGAGCCAAAAGAAACCTTCTTTCTCCACATGCAGCTTCTTACATAATCAGCAAAATATTAATTAATTTATCTTTAACACTGATGACAGTACCCTAGAGAAAAAAAAATTAAAAATAAGTCTTGTTGGCTCTACTCTATTACTGTTGATTAGTTGGAGGACCCACATGTGTCTATTGCATTATGGAGCCAAAAGGCATACCACAAACCCCAAGACCAGCCAAGTGGGCCTCCTGAAATTGGCAGTCGTGGTCAGCTGAAATTCTGAAAACATATGGCATAGTGCTGTTATTGGGAATGAGTAATCTATTTTGTTCCAGAATCTAAATTCTAAGCTCTTTAAAAATGCCTCCAAGTGGTACCGTCTGAGAGTTGCCTCCAATATTAGTGTTCCCCTTAAAGTGATAGGAACACTCTAGAAGAAGAAAGACTACATTTCCCAAACTCCCTTGCAGTGAGCAGTTGGTCATGTGACTGATGTGTGGCCAATGGGATGTGAGCGGAACTTGGGAAGGCAACCACTTTGGTTGGCCTTTTGGATCTTGGGAGGGGGAACAACGAGTGGGTGATGAGCAGATGACAAGCTGGAGAGCCAAGCCCCTGACAACCTCCAGTGCGGAGCCACCTCCCCAGCTCAGGAATTTGTGTGAGATAACTTTATATCACATTTCAGTGTCTAACTTTATGTGTCTGGACCCCACCAATGAATTATATTCTAAATGACATAGCTCTAAAGAAGTTGGTCTAGTTTGGGAAATTCCATGAATGTACCCATGAATAAATTATCTTCTTTTTTTCAAACAGAAAGAAATACAGAGTTTTGATTCATTTATATCAGTTTATTTCTTGTTCAAAAAATTCTTGAGACCATCTTAAGGAAGATGCCCGCCCAGTGCGCAGGCACAGATGCCTTGCCTGTGCCAACAAAATCGCTCCTTGGCACCCTTACGTCCCCCAGGTCCCCGATTCCCAAAGCTGGTGGCTCAGCAGCAGCAGATGGGGAGGTTTTTAGAAAGAGATTCTTGGACATCGGCCAGTTCATTTGAAGAAGCTGGATCCTGAGAACTGATCATTTTAAAGTTGGCAACATTGCCCACGGTGCCAGCTGTGTGACCTTGGGAGAGCTACTTACCTCTCGGTGCTACCAAGATGGGGCAGTAAGAGAGGCGGGTGCGGTGTGAGGTACCAGCACCCTGGCTGGCAGAGCAGACCTGCTGGTGGGGTGTCCACGGGTGCCAACTCCCCGCAGGACAGTCGCGCTGCCCACCAAGGGTTGCAGGTGTGCGCTCCTTCACCAGCAGCACGAGGACTGACCATGTGGCCACTGACTCTCATTCCCGGACCGCAGGCGCCCCTGCTCATCGCGCTCATCCTTGTTCCACAAGATTTATTGAGCCACTGCGACTTCAGTCAGGACAGAACAGACAAGCGGTGACATCGGTGACTTCTCCCAGGGAAGCTTTACTGCCTAAAGATGCACATTAAGGGCCCTCTGGGACAGGTGGCCTGGAGATGGACACACAGAGAGCCAGCGGTCGTGGGCGATTCCATAAGGGCCAGGCCCGCGGGCGGCTTCCATCTTTTGCACATGACAATGGGGACAGAGGAGCCTCCTGAGTCCAACCTCATCTCAGCAAAGTCTGGGAGGGCCAAGGGGAGAGTGGACATGGACCGAGATCGTCTCTGGGGCGTCTACGCATTCAAGAGACTGTTCCAGGAGCTGGGGACTCTGAGGGGAGCACACCTACAAGGTCCCCAGCCTGAGAGGTCCCTTCTGTGGGGAAGGCGACAGGGAGCCTCTGTGGGTCTGTGCCATTTGTACTTAAGTGAGAGTACATGGAGATGCGCTCGAGGGCTGGGCTGCGGGTCCTTCCACTTTGTCCCCTCCTGGGATCCCGGCTCCACCCACGGGGCCCACAGCGCAGGTGCGAGGCAGATCCGACAAGTGAGGCCCGAGCTCTCTGCTCACTTAATTCGCATTTTTCTTATTTCAAAGGAAGTTGGACGCCCTTCCTTGTCTCCAGCTGTTGGTCTTTCCTTTCCTCTGAGCTGTGTGTCCGTATCTCTTGCCCACTTTTCTGCTGAGTCGCTGATCCAGGATGTTATTAAATGAAGAAACGAAGGGGCAGAACCGAGAGAGCGTTAGAAGCTTTTTTTTGTTAAATTAAAAGTGAAACGATATTTTGTCGTGTACATATAAATATTCTTCCATATGCATGAAAGGTTTCCAGAAGCAACCACAGGAAATGGTTAATAGAGTGACCAGGTAGGTACCTTTTTCTTTCTGTCTTTTTTTTTGGTCTGTGAGCTTTTAAGAAAAGGGTCATTAGGGCAGGGCTGGGGCTCAGTAGCAGAGCGCTTGCCTGGCACCTGTGAGGCACTGGGTTTGATTCTCAGGACCTCATAAAAAATAAAGATATTGTGTCCATCTACAGCTAAAAACTTTAAAAAAAAAGAGTTATCATTTTAATGCCCTGAGTTTGGAGGTAGTTGGTTATATCTGAGTTTTTTTTTTAATCTTTCTGAGTAGCTTCACTTTTCTAACCATCTACAAGTGTTACTTGTTTTGTTTTTAAATATATCAGAAAGAAATGGACTGAGAATGTGGCTTAGTGGTGGCCTCGTGGAGTGCTAGCTCAAGGCCCTGGGTTTGATCCCCAGACCATGAAGCAAGGGGGGGAAAGAACAATGAGAGTTATTTGGCCATTTTGTTTGTCCTTATATTTCTTGTATTTTAGTATTTATTTACTTTATTTTTTACTTCTCCGGTACTAGGGAATTTAACCCAAGGGCACTTTACCACTAAAATACACCCCCAGCCCTTTTCATTTCTTATTTTGAGACAGGGTCTCTCTCACTAGTTGCTTAGGGCCTCCCTAAATTGTTGAGGCTGGCCTCGAACTTGTGATCCTCCTGCCCCAGCCTCCTGAGCTGCTGGGACTACCATGTATCTGATACTTCTTCTATTTTAAAATTTCTAATAGTTGTTATTTTAATTTAAAAATGTTTAGAAGCATATTATATCTGCAAAAGCACCCCATTGGGAACTGAGTTCAGCTCGTGACTTACACATTATAAATGCTCAAGGGATATTTGTTGGATTGGAAGTAGAAACCTTCCTTTCACGTGCAGCAGGAGAGAGAAGCCACATCCTTCAGTTGGATGGACTCAGGTCCCTGTCGGACAGCCCACTGGGCCCACAGAGCTGCAGAAGATGAACACAGTCACTCTGTCACTCTCCGTCAGCAGGGGAGCAACTGAGGCCCTCCAAGTGAAGGGGTCTTTGGCAGTGGTCACAGAATGCAAAAGTCCACCGCTGGGCAGGGATCCTGCTTCTCGGAATGTGCCCTTCAGATTGACTCCTGCATGTACCAAGGGACATGTAGATAGTTATTTATTGTCACAGTGTTTCCAAGAGCCACAAAAGAAAAGGAATCAGCGTCCGTATAAGGGACTGGCTGTCAGCGGTGGGCGTCCACGGCTGGGCTCCTGGGCCCTGGAGCAGGACGCCGTCCCGAGGCGGGTGACTGGGACCCGCGCGGCGCAGGACCCCGGGACCCAGGGCGCCGAGGGCAGGTCAGCGCGGGAAGCCGCCGGGCCGCGCCGGGGACTCGACGGGTGGCGGGAGGAAGCGCACCTGCAGAAGGCCCCGGGGAACGGAGAGGCGTGACTCAGGGAGCGAGGGGCGCCCGGGAGGGATGACAGGCGGTGGCAGGTGCTGGGGTCCCGCAGGCTCCGGTCCCACTGCGGAGGCTCCTGCGGCCATTTGGAGGGACTTGGAGGAGGGCAGAGGAGGCTGGGCGCTCTCCTGGGGGACACCAGGGCCGCCCGGGAGGGACAGCGGGAGGAGGAGCGGGAGGGGACGCCACCTGCAGCCGCCCTCGGCGGGACGCGCTCGGGAGGGGGCGGTAGAGCCAAGGGCAGCGGGCGCCTCCGGGCCACGTGACCAGGGCGCTGGCCAGGCCGCCGAGCTGGAAGGTTGGGAAAGGGGACCTGATGGCCCAGGGCAGTGCGTGCTGAGGTCGAGAGGCCGGTCCAACAGCGGGGAACAGCCAGCGTGGCTGCGGGACCTCGGAAACAGGCCCGGGGCTGCGTGGACTCCGGGAGGGCCAAGGGCTCCCAGGAACCCAAGACCGAGTCCTCCAAGAGCCAGTGCAGGGACCGTCCCGCAGGCTGTACTCATGATGATCCCAGACCCGATGGAGGTGGCCCCAGATGTCCGTCAACAGCAGGATGGAGAGATGCATATTATGTAGTTTACAAAAATATTTCAGTTTAGCTTTGTTGGTGTGCGTGTGCGTGTGCGTGTGCGTGTGTGTGTGTGTGTGTGTCTGGTGCTGAGGATGGAGCCCAGGCCTGAGCAGGCCAGGTGAGTGCTCTCCCACTGAGCC